AGCCTTGTTGTAATTTCTTTTGATGTCGAATCGACATGAAATGGTGAATCATTGATAGGGTTGAGGAGGGGGAAACTATACCAACTCGATAATTACTAATTAGCCCAGGGAAACACGAGAAAGCAAAGATTTCAAACATTCAATCAATGCAGGTTAAATTGCATTTACCCTTTTTCGAGAGACGATGTCAATTATCAGGTTTTTAGTATCAGGAATCCTGTAAATATTCTTGGCAACAACCTAAGACGAATACATTTTTTTTAGAGAAGGGGGTGTCTTTTTTTTGTTCCAAAGTACACATGACCTGTAACAGATATCTTTGTGCCACTTTGCATCAAATATACATATAAATAAAAATGTTATAATCAATTGTAACATGTTCAGAGAAATTAGATATAAAAGTGTATCCTCTAATCTGAGCTTTTGTGCGTGCAGATTGTTAATTAGCTTTGTGGGTTTAAAGGCAGAGTAAATAATCCATTAATTTTCATGCTTCAAATCCTCAAGTTCCCACCATCGGGTGATAACAGTTTACGTCATAGCATTCAAAACCTACACGTGCTACGACGATAGTCGCAAACCGCGAACTGTGCAATATAGCCGAAATTAAACTTGTGAAAATCTCGATATTCTGGAGTTATTTTCGTATTTGGACGAAAGTAAACGATAGGTATAGGTAAATATCTAAATGAACATCTTTCAAGTCGTAAAACACTGGCTCGAGGCATCTGGAACGTAACAACTCGCATCAAAAGGATGCTTCGATTTATTGCTGAAGAGGAAGCCCAGACAATGCTGTTCTCAAAGCAATAATAGCTACTGGAAGGAACCATAAAACTATGCACGTTGAGGCGATCTTGAGTGTAATCTGTCAATTATAGTTCACTTGTTTAAATGAAACACCCCATCACGATACCATCTTTCAAACAATATTCTGTCATTCATCCTGCATTTGTTAGACTTCATACTAGCCTATGTGAGGAAGTTTACCATAATTAAGGTACCTGACCCAAAATAGCCTCAGATTCATTAAAATCGAATGCATAGCAGTTACGTAGGGGTTGCATTCTCAGTTTATTTGAAAATACTTAAAAATACTTTTCATGTTCTCGTATTAGTACATGTAAGAGCAGAACACGCCCTTTCCTTGATGAGTTAATTATTATGAGAGAATTAAATGATGGACGATTAGGTACCAACATCGGACAATACCTTAAGATACATCAAAATGCAAGTATTGGTTGTTGTTCATCGTCTCATCGAGAATATTATCTTTACTTTTAAAGATTAAATACATTTGGAATTAATTAGGTCACTGGTGATTCAGTGATGATAATCCACACTTTCTTGCCATGGGGAAAACCAAAACAAATACTTTCTCAGCATGGCCCTGCAACAAAATCTCGAACTAGTGTACAGGGCTACAGGCGAACACCATGAATGCGTTCTGAAATAAACCTTAAATTTCAACAACAAAAAAATTGAATTGTATGTTCGTTTGTTTTTTGATTGAAAAAATTGCTGTTCCACGCTACTTTCTGGCCTTTATGTCTAGCGAGCTGCACATCTTCGTCTTCCAGGTGGACGTGCCTTGAATACGAAGCCTGGCCCGTATATACTGTTTGAATCAACGCTTCTAATGGATTAGATGTGTCAGCTTAATACGACAGAGTATCTCATTATCTAGTCCCTCTACAAAATCAGGCTCAGCTAGGGTGGCAGCGGAGGGGATCGATACACGACCATCTTATCTCCTCTATAAATACCATGACTCACTGCAACACACAATGTGCTCTGCAAACTAAATAAATATATTCTGTTCAATAAGAAAAAATAAATCGATAGTAATTGAACAGAACAAATGGAATATTGTGTCTGATTCAACTTTAGGGTATATAGGGAAAGGTTTGGGATGGGTTAATCGAAAGAATTTTGTACATTAATATTGTGCGATACGTTGATTATGGAACCATGTTGCGCAGGCAAAATATAAGTACCATAAACTCGTAAGCACTTAGATATATTTACTTATTACCATGTACCTCCCATTTATTCAATTAACAACGCTCAGAGGCTCTGCTTTACCGGGACGATGTACTTCAGGCAGGTGGGTAATTTGGCGGGGGAGGACGACTCGATATTCGGAATATACCTGGGGCCGTGACGCCAGGTAATTCTGGGATAAGCAACAGGGACATGGTATTTACTTTGAGAGTTTGTAAACACAGGTGGCAAGTTATACTCTGTCCTTACAAAAATGCGTCAGTTTAGCCAATTTTAAATACAAGCACAAATAATCCTGACGTATTTGTCTTTCTCCCGTAATCCCTGTTATCTTTGCGGATTAAAATCGCTACTGATTTTGTCATTAATGCCCTGGGCAAACTAAGACATAATCATGAAGTCAATATTACTTTTGAAGAAAGGAAGAGTTAATATCAATATTTCGGAAAAAGACAGATTCCAACCATTGGAGAAATACATATGATGGAAGTTCACA